CTTCCCGGGAACAGCGGACACCCGGTGGGGGAGAGGCGGGCCTGGTGTGGGTGCCAGCGAGACATGAGAGCCCTGGCTGGGAAGTTTCGAAGCCTGTGGGGTGGCAGGAGGATCCTGGGGCCCTGGGAAGGAGCCTGGTCAGGGAAGAGAGGCAGAAGGGGAGAAGCCACAGAGGGATGGAGAAAGGATGGGCAACGGGAAAGTTGTCGTGGCTTCCTGGCTTAGAGAGAAGGTTAATTCTCTTGAAGGGTGGGACAGGATGAGATGGATCTAAGTTTACCATGAAGCTGCCTGTCTGTGACCATGACCAAGTACTTATATTTTTCAAAGCGTGTGTTCACTTAGCCTTGGAAGATTATCGACATTGCTGTCACTTTCCGTTGCTTGAAGAGGATTACCTACCTTCCTGGCAGCATGCACTGCAGGCATGGAAATTCTACAAACACCGAGTGGGCAATCTTGGCCCTTGGCTTTGTGTCTTGTGTGAAGCCACTCTGGGAAGTGCCAGGGCTGGGCTGGGGGCGGGGGTGTCTTCCTAACCTAGCCTGAGTGAGGGAGAGCAGGCTGTCCCCAGAGCAGCAGGGACGCTCTGAGAGCGGAACCCCAGGCTCCACCTACGAGGCAGCGAGTGCAGGCCAGACAGCCAGGCTCTCCCTAGGCAGGAGTTGGACTGACCACAGAGTTTCTGCGGAGGGTCAGCTGCGGGCATGTGTCCACCCTGATGACTCCGAGTGGCACTGGGGACTGCTGGGGTGTGAAGGATCGAGGGTGCTCGAAAGTACTTTCCCACGGGTTATCCCACCCGTTGCTCACAGCAGCCCTGGGAAGGCAGCCAGAGCAGGAGCCAGGTGACTCTCCCCAGTACACAGAGGGGACACCCACTGGCCAAGGTCATGTAGCGCGGTCAGGACCAGAACCCAGGGCCCCCGCCTTCCCGCCCAGCCTCTTTCCGGAGCAGCATAAAACCACTCACACAGGGGAAGCTCTAACATGGGGCCACCGCTATATATGATCACTCCAACATGCACACAGACACGTGAACATGGATACAGTTGTGGAGAGAAGGTGGTGTCTCTTGCAGGCGAGAATGGGGAAGGGGCTGCCACTCAGGACAGCAGTTGTCACCAATTACTCAAAAATTAGGCATTTGCATCCCTCATGATCCGGCAGTTTTGTTCCTGGATATACAAAACAAAGACACCCTCCCCAGGTCTGTATGGAGGAAAGACAGGGATGTCCACAGCAGGGTGGGTCGCTGGGTGAATGTGAGGTCACAGGCCACGTGGGTGTCCAGCAGTGTGAGCAAGGGATCCGCAACGAGCTCATCCACGATGGGCTGTTGGGGTGGGAGTAGGATATGGTGAGAAAAGGGAATGAGTAGATGAAGAAGAGAGGCCCTCAGGGAACAGCAACAGGCAGAGGTCATAAAGAGAGCAGTGTCATTAACTTGCTCCACACGGGCGGAAAGGCTTGCAGCCTCCACGCTCACCTGGTCCTGCACGGGCCTGTGTGCAAGGGGCAGCGGGCTCAGGTGAGGGCTGGAGCAAAGCCCTACGCGTCAGGAAGGGAGGCTGGAGAGAGGAGGGCAGCTGGCCTCGGCGGTGTGCTGAGGCCCCTCTCCTCTGAGGCTGTGAGACTGCGTGACCTTCAGCGAGCTGAACTTCAGCGAGGCTGCTGAGTGCGTCTGCACGGTGGGACACCTCTTCCCCCTTGGAACGTGGGTGCGAGCACAGACACTGCGGGAGCCGAGCCAGCCCCCATTGAAGCAGCCTTCACTCCACTCTAGAAGGGTTTTTCCGCCCTTTGCAAGCACTCGGAGAGGCTGGCTAACCCACTCAAGTCCGGCAGAGCAGCTCAGCCTGGTCTCCCTGGCTGAGGGCTGTGGCTCAATACTTCCCAAGGTGAGACCTGTGTGCCGTGGGTCTGCCTGCAAAGCAGCTCTGCCGGGGAGGCCCTTTGGGAGCTGCTCGCATAAGCCGAAAGCTGGAACAGCTATCAGTGGGCCCTAAACAGGGGTGTGAGGCTCTGGGAAGCCAGCTGCTTCCCTCTTGATTTCCAATATCCCCCTGCGGTCTGCATCCCTCACTGGGGAGCAGGGGGAGGAAGTGCGGTAACAGTAAATTTTGAGTGACTTTCCATTTGAATGGTCATAAATCCCAAGTTGGTCAATCAGTTGAGGTGTGGTTTTGCATTTGATTTGGACTTTCTGCTACATATAAGCATGTGTGAACCCAGACGGATGCATATTAAATATCTTTTGCTCCCAATAGCTGGCGGCAGGGGTGCCGCTCAGAGATCTAATTCAATCACTTATCCCCCGTTGTTTTTACAGATGAAGAAACAGAGGCTCAGAGAGGGAAAGGGTTGATCCAAGGATTCCTAACAGGTTACCTGTGAGCTGAGGTAGCCCTGCTCTCGACCTCCCAGACACTGGTCACCTCCGGCACGTTACCTGTGAGTTAAGGGGGCCCCTGACCTCCTGGACACACCCAGGCCTCTCTGCAGAGTGGTACAGCTAATGAAAAACTGGGTAGTGTGCAAGCATCAGTCCATTCACTGGGCTTAGGGAGATGCTGCCAACACATTTAATGGACCCCCAAATGGCTGTGATTTATTTTAAAAGAATATTTTAAGTTATAATTATCAGAATTCTCTCACACCTATGTATTATTTCACAGCTTACCAATCCTTACACATCTTTTTCCCTCTTACAACACTCCTTTGAGGAAGCTCTTATTACCTGTGTCTAGAATTGGGGAAAGAGGTGACTTTGCTTGTCCAAGATCACCCAGGTAATGAGGGCAAATCCTGAACGCAGAGCCAGAACTCTGTCTTGGATGTGATGCTCTCTCCAATACACTACCTACTTGCTTGGAATTTCTGCTCCCTGCCAAACTCCAGATTTAGCCCAACCTCTGGGCTTCCCATATTGCGATCAGCCAGGAAGTGTTAAAATTAGCGAAGGTTTGGCCTTTAGTCAAAGCAGGTGCCAAGTCACAGCTGCACTTACTACCTTCACCTACAAAACACTCCTGGAGAGCTCTAGGTTGGGTGCCCATTGAGGCCACACGTTCTCTGACTTGAGGAAATGCTATTGAATGGGAGGCTGTAGTCTGTTTGGTTCGACACACATAGAAATCTCTTCAACAAGTCTGCACGCTTTCCAAAGGCCATTATCATTTGGGGGGGGTGGACTTTGTAGACACACAAAAGATGACAGTCTCTGAGAAATGAAAGCAGGGTCTGGAGCTGCTATTATTAGATCACTTTTATTTAGAGAACTAGGACATCCAAAGGGAAAGCGGAAGACCCACAGCCAACTTAGCCTAGATTGTTTTCTTACGGGTGCTGTCAACCACGGCCAGCCAAGAGCTACCAAATGGCCGGGATGATACTTACCTGGAACTGGGGAGAAGGGGTGTGGTTAAACATGCATAGCATTAATTGTTTATCTTTATTATAAAAGTAGTTAATGGTCACTGTGGAAAACACAGAAATAAATACAGATGAAGATAAAAAGCACCTTAATCCTAGCTCCCAGGAATGCTATCTTTTCAGATTTCTGTTCCCCTCACAGGTACAGGCATAATAAACTGGACAGTGAAAGTTTTCATGCAACTTAAGCACAGCACAGTTAGTGAGGTTTGTAGCACACGGATTATACAGGACCCCAGTCAGGAACCAGCACGCCACGGTTTGTCAAAGAGCTGGTAAAGCACGGGAACGAGTGGCTGCTTTTCGGTCGGGCTGGGTTTCCTGTGGGGTGTTATTTTGCTGTTCACCGTGGAGCTGCAAGGTCAAGGCCACGGTGAGAGGGGGCTCCTGAGGAGGGGAACTCAAAAGCAAGCCAGGGGACGTTGTTTGGCTTTTGCCCATTTTGACCAACCAGTTTATTGTTTTTGCCTTGCAATAACAAAATACACTTGTAGCTATAGAAACACTTTAATTATTGAAATTTGCAGAAAAAATAGCTTTGTTATCGTGAATCTAAAACTCTCCAGCCTTTGACCCCTTTTTTTCCTCATTGAAATAATTGTTTTTAATGTGGTATTTGAAACACATGATTTTTAGGAGTTGAACTAATGAAGTATAGCAGAACGGAATCTCTCTTTTTATACATACATGTATGTATGAAAATATACACGTGTATGTATGTGTATATATAGATTTATACATACATATATACACATATATGTAATTTGAAAAATAAAATTAGGATAATACTGTACGTAATTCTTGTATTTTGCGTTCTTTACTTAATAACATTTCCTAAGGCATTGAATAGTCTTCAAAAATACAATTTTTAATTCCTAAAGTATTCCATTACATGGATGTAGCATACATTAATCTACTTCCCTGTTCAACATTTTAAGTTGTTCTCAATTTTTCCTGTTATTAAAAAATGCTGTGATAAACAATGTAGTGTATGACTCTGTCCACATCTCTTACATTTTCTTACGATAAACTTGAGAAACGGAATTACTTCATGAAGTTTTCATGAACATTATCAATAGCGTCTATAAATACCTAATACAGTGGTCGGCACACAGCATTCAATAACTGTTAGCTATAAATAGGAAATCAAGTAAGAGGGAGAACAGACCAATCCTGTCCCAGCAGAGGGTTGCGAGAGACACATGTCCACTCCGTCAGGGGACAAAGTAACTGGCCAGTCAGCCTGGGGTAGGAAGGATAAGAAGGGATGGGCTTGTTTGGCTCCCAGGTGCAGACAGACTCACCAATGCCTAGAACGAAATGACTCTCCTTTGAACCAAACACAGCGATGGCCTCCTCCTGCTACGCTCACAGACACTCCCTCCCTCTGGTCCTCAGCACCCCGTGAGCACGCTTCGCTTAACCACAATCACACTCGACACAGAACCTTCACGTCACTGAGAGCCATGATCAGACAACAAACAACATGAATCGGTGTGTCCTCAAAGATTATTTATTAGCTATTCTCATGGTAAAACAAAATAAAAAAGTAAATGGAATTGAAACAAAATAAGATGAAAATCCTGCAACATTTCTCCCCCCAGGACCTCAGCTAGACTACACAAGATGGGCCCTTAGGGGTTTCATGATTGCAGCTTACTTACAGGAAAACCCATCAACAGATGCAAAGAAATGACATTTTCATTTCTGCTGAGGTATAGGGTCTGATATGGCACAATAAGAGAGTAACGAGGATGAGTTTTTTAAACAAAGAAACTAGAGCCCGTGAGCGGCGCCTCTCTTTAGCCCACACGGTCACACCCGTGAACTGTTGGGCTCCACTTTCCAACGAGTCTTCCTGGTCCAGACAATTCTACTGCATGTCCCTGCGGGTGGCCAAGCTCTGTTCTTTGATGGTGGATTTGATCTCTGACTACGGTCTGGTCACCTAGAGCTGGCTTGCACGAATAAGGGATAATGGCATTCTGAGATATAGCTGGTAGATAAAAGCTGTGAATGCTACAATAATGAGACTAGTTTTCTTACGTGGGCCCTAGCTGACCCTGAAGGCCTTCTGCAAAGAGGCAGCAATCTTTAAACCTACACCAAGAGATGTGAGCGTCACGAGAATGCGCACACAGCCTCCCGGGGTGAGTATATGGAAGGTCGGCATTTGTCTGGAAGCTTAAACTCTGGGCTAGTTGTTAAAATCCTGGCTCACAGGGTGCTAAAGCAGTATTGTATGCTCTTTCTTGCAAAATGGAAGCCTGTCAATTTAAATTAAATTTATATTGGTCCAAGAAAGGCTGGTTCTTAAAAGGATTTCCATTCCTTGAGGGTGGACAGCAAGGGGTACGATTTTCTTTCCTTCCCTCTCTTCACGTGCTGGCTTCCTAGCACACTGGAAGGTGGCTACCCATTTGTCCTTCATGATGCCTGGCCCCCCAGGGAAAAGGGCCCCGAGCACCAGCAATGCATAGGCTGGTGTTCAATGAGTGGCCTTGGGACAGTGACCCACTGCGTGGGAGATCACAGCACCTTGATCACAGAGGACTTCCCTGCAGTGTCTCTCTAGCAGTTCAGACACCGCCAGGACTGTCCTAGACAATCCAGAGGCCCCGAGGGCAGGGCAGGCGGGATGTCCCTAGTCCTTGGGGATGGGAGTGTTGCAGTTCCCATGATAGATCTTGACGTGGCCCTCGCACCGGAAATAGGCCTCGAAGACGTCACTGTAGCCATGGTCCCGCCACCAGGTGCAAAGCTGCCGGTTCCAGGTACAGTCCAGCACGTGGAACAGCTCGGGATGCTCCATGCCGATCATGGTGAAGAAGTCCTGGTCCCCGAGGTGGCCACGGAAGTGGTACTTGTCGGCGAGCTGCTGCACCCGTGCCGGCTCCAGCAGGCGGCTGTAGAGCGGGGACTGGCGCATGGCCTCCAAGTTCAGCAGCATCACTCCACTGTTGAAGCCAGGCAGCCCCTCGGGGGGTGGGCCCCCAACCCTGGTCTTGGGGTTCTCATGGCGGAACTGCCAGAATGTGTGCCTGTGAAGAGAGAGAACAGATTTAGCGCGGTACGCGGGGGTGAGACAGCTTCCCTGGGTCTCCACGACCACCCTGCAGGGAGACTCCGTTTCCATCTTGGTTTCACAGCCACAAAAGCAGACATTCTGCAACCAGCATGTGGCAGAGCGGGAATGTGAACCTGGGTCTCTGGACTCCAAGCCCTGTGTTCTCTCCACCATCCTCTGCTGCCTCAGGATGATGACCACAATGTCATCATCCTCATCTTCGTCGTCATCATCCGTGCCGTAGCTAATGTTTGTATGGACTTGGGACGTACCAGGCAGTGTACAAAAGCAGCTTCTTTACCCTTCACAACCACCCTAGGAGATGGGTGCTCTGTGAGATGACACATCATTTCACAGCTGAGGAAATTGACACCCAGAGAGGTCACGTAACTTGCCCAAAGTCGCATAGCTAGAAAGCAGCAGAAGCAGGGACTAAACCAGACACCTGGCTCCAAAGTCCACATTCCTAACATAGCAACAATCTAGGTAGAACTTTCTACTCTCTAGTCTTTGTCTGTGATCTTGAAAAGGAGAAGGAAGAGAGAAGTGGGGGAGCGATTCTGAATGGTGACCTGGTCAAGATGTAGGAGCCTGAACACAGGCTGAGACAAAACTGTTTTCTGCTTTGGGACAAGCCTCATTCACTGAGCTCCCCCAAACACAGCGTTTCTGGAAGGCTGGGCAGAGGCTGAGGGCTCACCCAGAGCTCAGGGCACACCAAGGGTTAGGGTGAGAGACGACTGTAGAAGGGCCAAGTAGGATGATGGCTATTTTAAAGAGACTGTCACCTCAATTTCAATTTCTCTCTAGGCAGATTCAGAAATCCAGTCTAGGTTCACAGTTCACGGGGTGTTCTAGCCAGAGGGACCTTCTATCCAAATGCTTCCATTTGGAGGAGGGAAGAAAGACCTAGCCACCTCCCTGTGAGTGACAGTTAGAGCACTGGCCACTCCGCCTTCCAGCTTCCTTAACATCAAGGTCTCGTGTGTGCTGCGAGGGGTGGGCAGGGACGCCCAAGCCTGCAGCCACAGAGACGGGGTCACAGCAGGAGTGCCTGTGACTTGGAGGAGGGAGGAACACCAGAAGGCCCATTGTCAGGGCAGGGGGAAGGATGAGAGGGGTCCTAAAGGTGGGGGTGACACCCTGGCAGCACCAGCTCTGCTCCTTAGCCTGGAGGCACAGCCCCTTGTGTCCTGGGCAGAGTTACTTCCCCAACCACTCAGACAGAGCACAGGACCTGTGTGGTGAGGCGGGGGGCACAGGGGACAGGAACCAGAGACCCAGCCTGGGGGGCAGGAGCGGGGCCACTTCCCAGCCCCAGCACCTTTCTCTGTGTCTGGCACTGGAGAAACCTTCCTTGAGGTCTCAAGTATCACAAAGGTGCCGAGAGTTCGATCCTCGAGAGGGGACAAGCAGAATCCAGGGCTTCCTTGTTTGAATCTCGCCATGTGAGGACTGTGAGTGGGAAGAGCTCTGGCGCCTGTCTGGTGATAACAGCCTGGCAGGAATGAGCTTCTCAGGCAAACTGAGACACGGCCGTCTTCCCAGCCAGAAAGCCTGCAGGGATGGGGTCACGCAGGGCTGGGATGCAGTGTGGCCAGTGTTTGTTCATTGCACCCTATTTCTTCCAAGTGGTTAATTTCAGGACCAGGTTGAAAACCAGCAAAAATTCTACCAGACAGACCAGGGCACCATGTGGGAGAGGGGGGACCCTCTAAATAGGGGGAACGGGTACTATCCCACCAAGGCGCTCAACTCACCCTTCGCTGGGGGGAAGCAGAAGCATTTTCCAGGGAGGAGAGACCTGGGGGAGGGAGGATGCGAGGCACAGGGAGGCAGGGCCCGTGTCTGCAGAGAGCCCGGTGCCAGCACACCGGTCCAACCATCCTTTCCCCCATCTCCTCTCTTCCCCCTCAGAGGGCCGAGGAGAGGGAGAACTTGCCCGGCTGGGGGTGCAGTCTGTGCAGCCTCCTGCTTCCATAGCACCTTCCGCTGGCACGGCAGGGCCACAGAAAGACAACGGGACTGGTAAGGATCGAGGGACAGGCAGGTGTGGGTTGGACTGTGCAGCCGTCAGGGTCAGGTGAAACCAGGGAGCACGACCCTGTGAGGACACGACGCTGCCGCTGCTGAGCCTGTGGCCTTACTGAGCACTGAACCACCCTGCCCGACCTACCACGGGGCCGAGTGAGGAGCAGCAACCCGGAGGGGCTCAGATGGCGTAGAAGGGCTTCTACTCTCCTGTGGGCAGGGAGCAGAGAGGCCGTCTGCAGTGCCGGGCACCCTTACCCACCTCAGCAGGGAGGCTCTGAGATCTTCCCTGTCTGAGGCAAGAGCGATCTAAGAGTGCGCTGGCACCAAGCTTGCTGGGCTCAGGACACAGGGGCCAGAAGCAGAGAGAAGAGGACGGAACATTCTTCCAGGAGACCATAACCCAGGTGGTTCTTTGGGAACAAAATGCGCAGCATCGCCACTTCATCAGGATGAAGAGGCATTTTATAACAAAGAGCCAGAAAGAGCTGGTCTGGGGCGTCAGCAGGAGAAGCAGAGGAGAGACAGGAAATTGGAAATGCAAGCTGCCTGGGGCGTCCACTGAAGCAGAAACACAGCCTGAAAAGGCACCAATATTCTCTAAGCACAAAATATTTCCAGGGTGCCCTTGTTCGAAGCATTCCTACTATCCCAAAATAAACCCAGAAAAACAGGGCAGTCACTGAGGGGAATGGAGGGGCTCTCTGGCCTCCCTGTCAGCTGGTTCTCATGGAGGAATCGCACCAGCCTTGGGCTAGAGAATGACACAGGGACGTGCGAGGAGCTTCCATCCCATGGTAAACGGCCTAACTAGGTGGTACCGCCCACTCCTCAGAGGCCACGGCATGGCATGGTTTGCAAAGCCCTCCTAGACCCTTGACCTCGGTGCCTTCTCCCTGAAAGGAGCATTGTCTGTGCTGTAACAGAGGGAACAGCCCTCAGCGCGTCAGGGCAGGGCTTCTGATCTCCAAGGTCCCTTTCATCCAAGTGCCTCAGATTCCACGGGCGAATGCTCCAAGGAGCAGCTCTTGGATTTCAACCTTATTATATTTCTGAATCTGGCTGGCATGCCCCGAGGCCCGGGGCACTGGGGACCAGGCTGCCGGGCGATGAGGCCACTGCTGGCCCTTCACCAGCTTGGGGGCCGGACCCGAGGCCACTCTGAGGCAAGGGGGTGAGCACCCAGACACCTGCCCCTTCCTCACAGGGGCCTGGGCTGACCATACATGTCCATGGGCACTGCTGTTGGCGCATGCGGAGAAACATTTGTATGAATGCAGGTATCTGGCTCTCAGTCCTGGAGCTTCCAGAAGTTTCTCTGATTAACCTCCCATGCCCATAACCCAGCTGCACTGCCCTAAATGTCTGGATCTGGGCCCGTGCAGAGTCCTGTTCCCACCCTCCACAGTCACCTGGAGACCCACCCTGGGCGGGATGAAGCTTTTTGCCCCCGTGAGAAATAATTTCAACTGGGAAACAGGCCCCCACACAGGTGGTCCACTGCAAATACCGAGTCTTTCCAGAAGTCAATGAGGCCCATTGGGAAAATGCAAATTGAGAATTTTCAAGTACATTCTGCCGATTATGAATGATCCATTTTCTACATTTTTTATAGCAAGTATGTCTTAATAATCATTAAAAACCCCATTAAACACCAGTGAACTGGTTTTCATGAAGAAAACCCATCTTTATGGAAAGGAGTACTTGAAACAATTTTGAAAACAAAGTCACACCTCCCTTCAGGTCTCTCCATGGTAATCATGGCCAGGGTCGCCGCAATAAAGGCTCTCGGCTGGCTAGAGACCCTGGCCGGAGAATCTAAAGCTCGTGCTCCCCAGAAAAGAACACACGCTGCCATAAATGATTCCTTCCTCCTCCTCCTGCCACCCCAAACACAGATCTTTTTGCCTCCGACTCGTCAAGATTTCCTCTCCTGGCTTGGCCTTCCCTAGCTCCTAAGGCTCAGAGTTCTCCACTTGCACTTCTAAGAGGGAAGCAGCGAGGATGGGAACACACACTGCACCCAGGCCACCTGCATGAGGCTCCACAGGAAGGTCCTAGAAGCCTGTGCTGACTCAGGCTAAGTTCAAGCTGTAGGTAGCCAGGCAAAGAAGGCCCCATTTTAGGCCCAAGATTCATAAGGACAAGCTCGTACGCATCACGTGGCCTCACCGTGGCCTCCCCTCCAGTGTCCCTCAGCCTTGAGCGCAGACCCACTAAGGAGCAAACAAGGCCGGGCCTCTCCTGGAGGAAGCCTTCTGGATGCTGCGTAACCGTAACGGGCAGAGGCCGGAATCAGGAAAGTGTTTCCCTTGTGCCCGTGTGTATGTCCCAGGCCCAATTAGCTCTTGTTTGACTTGGAAGGGACCCCATTTTCCAGCCCTCTGAGATGAAAGGCCAGGAGTGAAGGGCAGCACTTGGTGGCTGCCTGGCATTTCATCCACACCAGCCCCTGAGGGGTGACCTGGGGACAGTTCTGGCCCAGAGGCTCTTTGGACACCCTGCACCCTGGCTGGGTGATGTGGGATAATTTCAGACCAATGACACTGTGTTGGGCTTGCCTAGAGCGGAGTGTGATCTTCTGTGGGACAGGCGTGGACCTGCAGTCCTGTGGGGGACCCACTGCCTTGTGGCATCAACCTAAAAAGGGCACGGACTTCTTGGAGTTGTGGGGCCACTGCGAAGCCTTATACTGCCCCTGTCCCTAGGGCATTCCTCATTGCCAACGGTCACTACTGACTCTTCCTAGGAGCTCTTGATAGCAAGGCCTGAAGCAGGCTTAGGTCCCAGCTCGGCTGGACAGAGAAGGTGAGAAATGTTCCCAAAGCCACACAGGCTGTTAGTGGTAGGACCAAGAGGGGTGCCTCATAGAACCACAGTCTACTAGAGCCTGAAGACACTAAGACACTCCTAGTTCCTGTTCTCATTTTACAGATGAGGAAG